CATTTGGCATTAATAGAATTTTTCCAGTTATAAAAATATTTCTTTTAGAACCTTCAACTTAAAGGGAAGCCTATTTACTAATATACAACACTTTCTTATGGGTTGAAGCAGGGATATACAAAGAACCTCAATTTTTTCATTTTATTACTTTCGGTAATGTCGATTTTATTTTTTTTAAATTTATACCAAATAAAAATATTTAATTACCACATTGAATAAAAATTTAAAAAAAAATAAAATTTTAACATTTTAAATAAAAGCAACATTCCGTAATTAGTAAATATACGATCGTAACTTTTGACTCGAACGATAAAAAATCACATTCCCACTTCACTCTGTAAGTAAGCTCTTTATTTGGCCGTTAAAAGTGAACGAAGGCCATTATATTTGTTTTTGTTATATGCTTCGACGTGATTCTTTGTAACAACTCAAAATCGGCACATCTAACTTATTTGACCAGACGCACGTCGTCGGGAATGTCGGAGTTTGAGGGAGAGGTATGTTTGGATGTGGTTGCTATTGCGTGCGATGGCCGTCGTGTTTCACTATTTTGCTCCCATTTTAGTTTTTGTCGCCTTCTGCCTTTGTCTGATGTATTTTTTTATTTAATTACGCCTTCACTTTCTCCGCTGATCTCAACTCTTACTCTAGTAGCTGCTATTCCTAGTGTCTGGTCTAGGTTATTTTATTTCATTTATCAAGTTAAAAATTGCAATAATGTAATTTCTAAGTATATCATAAGACTCTTATCAAAAGTGTACTCATTATTATTACCACATTGTACTCATTCAATGAGTACTCATTCAATGAGTAAATGTTAAAAAATAAATGAATTAAATAAATTATTCAACGTGCAACACATCATACATGAGATGTACTCATTCAATGAGTAAATGTTAAAAAATAAATGAATTAAATAAATTGTTCAACGTGCAACACATCATACATAAGAAACATGACATGGAACATGCACATTGCACACGTGTACTGTTTTATTTTGTTATGCTATTTGTTGTGTTTATTTGTTGTGTTTTAAGTTTTTCTCAGTTTTTTTTCATCCGTGATTAATTAATTAGGTTAGGTTGGTTAGAAGATTAGGCTTTTTTACACTGAAACATAAATATAGCTACTGTGTATTCTAAAATGGTATCTATCATTTTCTAATGTAAATGAGAGATTTGTTTTTGTTGGATAATTATAATTTAGTTATAAATTATCACTAATGTTCAGTTTTTATTTTTCTGTTTCGTGTTTTCCAAAAGCAAGCCTGCCTTCTATACGTATTGTTATCAGCTGTTCATTTGTTTTAAGAATAGGCACTATATTATATTATATTGAAATAAAAAGAAAGTGATAAAAAAATAACTTGTTTATTTTTGGCACAAATCTGAAGGCCACACCAGGTAAAGGCAAAACTCCGATAAGTTACCTGCAGGAGATATGCACGAAGAAAGGTCACACCCCGCAGTACGACCTGGTTGCCAATGAGGGTGCCGTTCATGAGCCTTTGTTTGTCTTTAAGGTCATTGCAGGAGATGTCACAGGAACTGGCAAAGGTGATAACCATTTTTTCACATAGCAGTAGTCGTGATAATTAAATATTTATTGAAATGAGCCAAAATGTTTTCAAAGGACCTAGCAAGAAGAAAGCCAAGCACAATGCTGCTATATCTGCTTTGAGTCAGTTGCTTGACTGCGCTGATGTCAATCAGTTGGCCTCCATCATTTCTAACATGTCCAACTGGTTTGTTTATAGCTGACTGATTTATCTACATGCACATGGGTCACACACGTACACACGCTTGTACACACTTTCATGAAACTTACACTCATACATAAATTCAACATCTGCATAAAAATAATGTCCAGAAACACATAAATTTTTTAATTTATATTCTAGGCAGAATTAATGTTTTACATTTCTTGACAAAATTCATCACCATTTAGTGACCAGCCACAATCCATTAAACCTCAAGTCCTCATTGACACTGGGGACAATGCCGAGGGGAATCCAGTAGGGGAACTTCAGGAAATGATGCAGAAGAAGATGTGGCCCCCTCCCGTTTATGAGTACACCAGCGAGCAGGGCCCTCCACATGCTAGGGAGTTCGTTTGCACTGTCAGTCTCTTCAATTTTACTGAACAAGGTTTGTGAGGTTTGTGGTTGTGTTGTTCTTAAATAATCGACAATGTGTTTACATTGAAAAACCTATTCGTGTCCTTTCGCTTCCCACATTACTCAAAATCATTGGTGTGTTTGTTGGAGTTCTTATTTAATAATTTTACTTCTCCAAAAGTATAGCATGCAACGTAATTGAATAAAAGATTTTAAAATTAATTTGTAAAAACGTTTTTAAAATGTAACCAGAAGTAAATTTTTATTCATCAATTCATCCCCTGGCTGGCAGCTGTTGGAAAATCAAAAAAGTTGGCTAAAAGAAATGCAGCTACCGTGATGCTGGAGAAAGTGCGACAGGGTCTCGTGAAGCCAGTAGAAAACTTTTCAACTTTTAAAATTGAAGATCAAGTTGGTCATTTGTTTGGTGATTGCGGAGTTGTTGCAATTTGTAGTGTTGTTGAGATACTAATACAGACATGGTTGGGTTGGGATACTAGAAAAGGTCTGTGTGTTGTTGAATATTGAGCATTTGGATGGGAGGTGTTGCGACATACTGTGATGGCTTTGAGAGTAGCATTTTACAGTCTCTGCAGATCGGTGGTTGATATTTGGTTTTGAACTGAGAGGATCCCAGACCAAACTGGCATACTCAATAATTGATCTGCCAATAGATTTGTAAACTTAAAAAAGTGTTTCCACCTCTTGACAAGATGAAGTGATTAAAAGGGCTCTGAAGATTATTATGTTTGGTAGATATTTTGTGATCTCATATTATGGCAAGAATCTTTGGTTAGTGTTCTAGAGGCAGTATTTGATAGTTTATCAGGACTTCTTTGGGATGATGTTGAGCTGTGTGTGGGGTGATGATTGTGGCAGTTGATTTGCTTGTGGAGATGCGTTAATGTCATCATCCAACTATTATTGTATTCCACCTCCGTCGACGAAATTATCATGCCAACATCATCATCACATCAACATCGGCTTCGCAACGTCGCCATCTTACGGACATCATCCCTTCATCATCATCCACCATTATCATCGCAAATCACTCACAGGATTTAGACCCACTCAACAAGAAATCACCACTTAATGACTCCTCAACAACATCGGCAGCAACAACATCAACAACAAAGGACGACAATTTTTCAAAAAGTGAGAACGCAACAGAAAAGAGGAAAACCAGCTCGATGTTCCTCAACACAAAAAAAAACAAACCAAGCACTGTCTTGGAGAACCTTTACAAATTACATTCAAGTTCTGATGAAAATCAAAATGGTGATTTTGATGATGAGGATATCAGTTTTGAGAATGATGGTGATGATGCAAGAGAGCTGATTGGAAACGGTGTCAAAGACCCATGCAGCATGCGAGCAACAACCATCCAGCCAGCCAGCAAGTTCAAGAACAAGTGGATGTCGTTGCTGTGTGACTTGTCAGTCGAACAAAAATTCCTCATCACATTTCATGATCTACCCTACACAACGGACAAAGGTAAGTCATTCCACATAGTTTTGTTCAGAGTGTCAGAGTTGGAGATTTCTGCCAGTCAGAATTTTTTGAAGGGCCAACTCCCACTCCAGAAATTAATATGAATTTGAAATTTTTTTGTTTTTTATTTTGAAAATATTTATTTAAGATGGTGTTTCTTAGAAGATAAGTACGTGTAGCGATGTGCAGTTAATTATCTTTAACTCTGAAAATAAATGCTAATAATGTGGATAAAATCACAAATTTTTTTCAATATGTTTTGAAAAATAAATATAAACTAGTTTTATATAAAAATAATTACATCGACTGATTTCAAATGTTTTTAAAGTATTTTTCATTAAATTCACTTTTAATATTTAATTAAAATTACAAGCGAAATTTGAAAAATTTTTCTAATATTTTTCACTCGACTGCAACACCCTGGTTTTATTATTTATTTTTTATTGGCCACCTTTGTTGAATAGATGGAATGAATGGTTTTCATTTTGTCAATTTTTGAGAGTTTCAAATAAGAGATTTATACATTTGTTGATGAAATAAGTTCGACGAGCTGTTCAAAAAGTATCTGTCTGATCAGATGGTGTCGACTAGAACAAAACACAAGATGGTTATCATCTTGTCATTAGAGGGTTGCTGAGAAGGGTTAAAGCAATGATTTTAATGAACTTTGGCACCTACCTATACCTCAATTTTTGAACTTTTAATTTTTCATGCTAATTTACTCTTTCAAGATAACAATTTCAAATTAAATTTGCAGGAATATACCAATGCATAGTGCACCTGTCAACAGTTCCTCCTGTGGTCTCGCATGGTTCTGGCTCCCTCAGATCAAAAGCTCGAGTACAAGCTGTCAAAAATTCATTAAATAACATTGTCACACTAACAAAAAAGATGTTTTGATTTGTTGTGCGGTTGTTGTTGCGTCTTTGTGTTGCTGTAATGTTGTGTGGTTGTATCATTCTGTTGTGTATTTGTGCTGTTGTTGTTGTATTGTATATTTGTGTTGTTGTTGTGTTGTATATTTGTGTTGTTGTTGTGTTGTATATTTGTGTTGTTGTTGTATTGTATATTTGTGTTGTTGCTGTGTTGTATCGTTTTGTTGTTCGTGTGCTACAATTCAATCAATTATTGTCTAG